TGGTAGTAATATGACCCTTTTGCCGATGACAATAGTTAAAGACAATTCTGAGAATAAGATTTTAAAAACAAGACGTAGTAATGCCTCCAAATCCAAGAATTGTTCTGCTTGAAAAGGTCCATTAACAGATAATTAGAGTATGGCTGAGATGATAACCATTTTTATTGGCATTGTAGTGCTCTTTAGAACACGGCATAATCCATAAATTGTTTAAGTGATTACTGGTATGGGAGAAAGAGATAGATATGAGAAACATGATTAAAATGAAAGAAAAGCTACATTTATAGGATGGTCCAAATATCTGTTTCATCCTGGCTGTGCAATTTTTCTTCATTGTTTAGATGGACATGTTAGGAGGGAGAAGGACATAAAAAGAGAAAGAGGAAATACACAATAGGTGTATACATGTGATTATCTAAGCAAGTAAAAAGATTTGTTAAATATTACATCATATAGCAATAAAATATACATAAGATACAAATCAAAGTCATATGTCATATTATTTAAAACAACTGATATTACCTTTGTGATTGCATGCATCTAACCATGACAGACTTCACAGGAATTGGATATTGGCCTCTGGTGTAATGGTTCTGAACATATCTGGAGCTACCATTCTTGTACAGGTCATGAAAGAAACTGCATGTTTGCTTCACATGTAATACATAATGATATAAGTTGCACTTTATCCTGGACTGTGCCCTGCAAAAAAAAATATAACAATCATGCCTTCATCAAAACACATCTAATGCAAGAAATGGAACAGTAAAATCTGCAGCATAAGATCAGAGAGTGAAAATATCGTCATATTTATTTTATAGCTTTCATTCAAAACCCATCACAGTTTTCACATCAAAGCAATTATAAGCAATATTTCATTAACAGGAGTACAGTCCATCACTCCATGAATATCAAATACTACAGAACAAAAAGCACTTAAGTTGCTGAGAGATATATACTTCTTTTCCCTTAAATCCTTTTATTCCATATCCTCTCCCATGTTGCTAAAAACTCATAGATGGCAAGTTATTTTTCTCATGCTAAATCTTAATTATTTACTATAATGGGAAAATCAGAACACCTTAACAGAAATATCATATTTATTACAAGTCTTTAAAATGGCTTTTCCTCTTAACACCAAGAATCTTAGACCTTTTTGGTTAATTACCCTATCGTCATGGGCAGATGAATCTAGAATCATGTGTCATCCCCTAAATTATCTCGCTATCTGACTTGGCAACTAGGCTTCTATACAGGGACAAAAAGAGATGCCTTAGGATGATCAAAATGAAGTCAGCACTAAGGGTTCAGACTGAACGTAATAGTGTTACCAGTTTGATGGCTCCATGTTAACTACCGTTTTAAGGCCGGGCGCTGTGGCTCACGCCTTTCCTGCTCTTGGAGGCGAGGCGGCGGATTGCTCAAGGTCAGGATCAAACAGCCTGAGCAAGAGCGGAACCCCGTCTCTACTATAAACAGAAGAAATTAATTGGCCACTGATATATATATATAAAAATTAGCGGCATGGTGGCACATGCCTGAGTCCAGCTACTCGGGAGGCGCAGGCAAGGATCACTCGAGCCGAGAGTTTTTGAGGTTGCGTGCTGGCTACGGCGTGACGCACGGCACTCACATCTAGCCCTGGACAACAAAGTGAGACTCCTGTTCCAAAAAAAAACAAAAAAAAGAAAAAAAGAAACTGCAGACTTAAAGCCTCATTAAAATGTTTTCCATTGTTGCATGTACAATTTGATAGGTAAAACTGCCATATAATGACGATTTTGTGATGGCTCTCATTACATCTTTTAAGATAGAGGCTGAGATACACTGGCCTCACACCAAATTTTGCTCTACCATAAGTGAAGATAGACAAAGGTCCCACAAAAGGTTAATATGTTTGTGAGTAAGCACAGGCTAAGGCAACACCACCATGGATTGTCAGATGTCTCTTTCAAACGCTGGTTAATTTCCAATAAAGATGAACATTCTGATGAAAACATTAATAGCTAGAAATTTTAGTGATAAGAATTTCAAAGAAAATAAAATATTTATATTTCTCTGGGAGAAGCAGAGTACTATTTATTAATATATTAAGATTTATTAATAAATAAATCTATGTTAAAAAGATCACTGGATTTCTTTAATTTTTTTCCTCCATAGGAAAAAAATTTTCCTCCAGTAGGAGATACTGCCTATTTCCTACTTATATGTGGCACAGATATATTTTTTAGTTTCAGAAATATGATTATTTCTCTTTCTCTCTTTTTTTTAACTCTCTCAGTAAAGGTCATCCCTTCTTTCTAACATAAACATTTATTACATATCTTGACCTTTATCTTCCTACCCACTTTTCAATGAATTAATATTAAGTTAAGAAGTAAACACACACACACACACACATACATGGAGAGACAGAGAGAGAGTCTGTAGTACTCAGATAGAACTATGTATATCCATACCTATTGCAGAACTATCTATACCCATTGATAGGCACAGAGCTTGCCTTTGAGTACATTAAGTCTACCGATATTTTTCTTTCTGCCCCACAACTATTCTGTTTCCTATGGAGGTTTGACATCGTTTGTGGGACCGACATAAATGATGTCTATTAGCTTACAGCTAGTACAACAGAAATAATTCAAGACTTTTATTTATTGGTGCTAAAAGATCTTAAAAGAAAATTGATACAACTGGGAGAAATACTACACAAATTGTTTAGGCCAGAACACTAAAATAGGCTAAGAGTAAACTTTGAGGGTTTATTTTTAAAATTAGCATACATGGCATAATTTATTTGAATAATCAGAGCCCCTCTATTACCTACTTGATCAACTTGACCCCCCAAAGAATGAAAATGACTAGACATTTTGTGTAAGCAAATATCTCCCGGAAGAATGGAACACTCTTTCAGTAATGAGTAGATTTGTCATGTGTATTATAAGAAGATAGATTGATCTCATAATGAAATATATGTATAAATGTGCATTTGGTATACTTCTGTATTTCTCTTTAAATTCTAGGCTGGTGGTCCCCAGAAAATATTAGGATAATACACAGTGTATGTGTTGGCCATAGCTTTTGGTGAGATTTTTTTTTTTCACATAATTCAGGAGGTAGCATTTTGATGGACCCACTAATTTCAACATATGGATATCATAGCCTGTTTTCTACAATATGAAAATTAATAATATCTGAACAATGCCTTTTTCCTTTGCAAGTTAAATCACTTTATTTACAGCATTTTTACTCATAAGTAGAAGAAAAGAGATATAACAGAAAAATAATTTATGTGTCCATAGAATTGTCCCCTGGAACTAATAAGGGTTTGGGTATATTTAAACCTCTGAATAGTCTACATATGCTGGAAAACACAAAGGAGTAAATGAATGGCAAAATATAAAACTATTTTAAAAGATTTAGTTTGTAGGTATATATGACACCTCCTAAATCCTAGTATTTTGAAAGAACAGATTAAATCTAACATTTAAGATTGCTTTGCTAACAAAACATCTGGGTTTCAGAGTTGTCAATGTCTCCCTTGATCAACAGCTAACTTCAAAAGAAAAGCATAGTCCAGCCTCAGTTTCCACAGAAACATACCATTTTACAAGATGCATCTACTAAATGGTGGTCTCATTCCACAGTGTATCATATATGTTGGTATTTGTAAATGAATTCTAAGATGACTCAAATTACTTCAGAGATATGCATTTCAAACTGCGTGAAATGTCAAAATAATTCATTGTAAGTCTGAGCAAATTTCAATACAATTTACAGTAAACACTGTGAATACTACTATATTTAGGCTGCTATTACTGACTTCCTTATAAATATATAAACAGGACTGATAAATTTAGCTATTTTAAATTGTGCTCAACATCCATTTGGTATAAAATCATCTCCTTAGTTTTGACCTAACGGAAAAACAAAATCAACTTTGACCTAAGCTGTATTTTTTTGAAGGCCACTTTGTTAGAATTATAGTCATAGAACATACTCTATATATTTTAAAAAGGACTTTAGATTATAGTTTACCTTACGCTTCTTTCAGAGTGCATTTTCCCCTTTCAAAAGTCATGACTTTTAAATTTTGCAAATACTATTAGTACAGGAATGATATCTTTGACCTAGACCTAATAAAAACACATTTTCAAGAATTCCAATAGCAGTTTACAATGTCTGAGAAATATGAAACTTCTGTATGTAGCTAACAGAAAAATCCTATTTCTTGTACGCTTTATGTTGTCCATGGAAATGTGGTCGCATTAACATTAAGCTAATGTTTTAAAATATATCTTAGGCCAAAAACAAATGGATAGGATAGCACCTCATACAAAGCACTATCTTCCAAATAAACAGCAAGAAACCAAGATTCAGGAGAATAATTTTCAGTGCCAGTGCACGCAGTATATGACAGACAAGCCTCAAAATGTCTCCACTTCAAATAAATAGAACAGAGGAAGAATGATGCCTTCATAACTCACTAGATGGCAACTTAACATAAAACTACAGATGTATAAGACAATACTCCCTCCTACCTTGCTGAAGGCAGAGACTGACTTTAAAGAGGCAAGATATGGGTCTAATTCTGAAGTTCTTTTTTTCTTGAACCTCAAATATACTTAACGAACATACCAAGTAAAACACACAAGAATTTAAATGGTAAAGGTCATTAGATTTCCAAAGCAGCCCACTGATTGTTTTAAATGATTATATTTGTACTTATTGGTCCTATACATAAAAGTTACAATATTAAATAAACTAAAACAAAGACAGAAAAACCCAACAGGACTAAATTATACTAATGAATTTTACTTTCAAGGCTAAAGTGTACTAATTGACCATTTACTCATGAATTATGCATTATATAAAAAACAGCAATACACAAGGTTTGAGGCTAATGCAGAGAGATAAAAAATATCTCAATAACTTTACAATTTTGTTGTCTACTTGGATAATGAATACTTTACAGGCCTAGTTATAGAAATATGCATACATACCCTGGTCTAACACTTCTTCTTCTTCCCGCTTTGGCTGCTGTAGTAGAGGAATCTTATCTTTGTACTCTGTTTCTGTAAAGGATCAAAGAAGCTGAGTATAAATTTCCAGTATATATTATACACTTTAAATAGTTTATTGGAAATATGCCATCAACATAAAAATATTATTCAGGGTCTTATGTTTATTATGGTATTAGAACTTTTATGTTTTAATTCATATAATGCTTCAATTCACAAGTGCCCCTCCCCCCAGCATAACCAACAATTACTAGACTTCTGACTTAATAACTAGGTCAACTATTTTTTCAGTCACATATAAGTGATATAGAATTTTAAAAATATATTAACAAAAGTACTCATTTCAAAAAATTAAATTTAGTGATATTTTAAGAACATTTTAAGGCACATTCTATAAATATATTAGAACCTTACTAAATGACCTGATTGCTATGCTAACTTCTCTCATAAAATCTCCAACAGAAAGAAATACGAAGCTGCTCTGGCATTTTAGGGTTGATTCCAAAACCCAATAAAGTCTCATGCAATAAAACAGGGTGTGGGCATTGCAATTTTAAACTAAAGAAATGGTAGTCAATATGACCATTTTGCTGATGAACAATAAGTTAAAGAACAATTCTGAGAATAAGATTTTTAAAAAAAACCAAGACTAGTAATGCCTCACAAATCAAGAATTGTTCTTTGCTTGAAAAGGTCCATTAAACAGATAATTTAGAGTATGGCTGAAGATGATAACCATTTTTATTGGCAAATTGTAGTGCTCTTTAGAACACGGTGCATAAATTCATAAATTGTTTAAGTGATTACTGGTTATAGGAAGAAAGAGATGAGGATATGAGAAAACATGAATTAAATGAAGAAAAGTCTACATTTATAGGATTGGTCCAAACTAATCTGTTTCATCACTGGCTGTGAATTTTTCTCTTCAATTGTTTAGATGGGGACATGTTAGGGAGGGGAGATAGGACATAAAAAGAGAAAAGAGGAAATGACAATATGTGTATACATGTGATTATCTAAGAAGGAAATAAAGATTTGTAAATATTAATCATATAGTCAATAAAATACATAAGAAAATACAAAATACAAAGTCATATGTCATATTATATTAAACACTGATATTACCTTTGTGATGTCCATGCATCATAACCATATCAGACTTCACAGGAATTGGAATATTGGCCTCTGGTGGTATGGTTCTGAACATATCTGGAGCTACATTCTGTGTACAGGTCATGAAAGAAACTGCATGTTTGGCTTCCATGTAATACATAATGTATAAGTTGCACATTTCATCACTGGATGTGCCACTGCAAGAAAAAAAAAATATAACAAATCAGCCATTCACATAAAACACATTCTTAATGCAAGAAAAATGCAACCAGTAAATCTGCCAGCAATAGATTCAAAGGTGAAAATATCGTACATTTATTTTATAGCTTTCATTAAAACCCATCACAGTTTTCAACATCAAAAGCACATTATTAAAGGCATATTTCCACTTAACAATGGAGTATCAGTCCAGTCACTCCATGAGTATCACCAAATACTACAGAACAAAAAGGCACTTAAGTTGCTGAGAGATACAGTACTTTCTTTTCACCCTTAAATCCTTTTATTCCATAGTCCTCTCCCATTTGCTAAAACTCATAGATTGGGCAAAGTTATTTTTCTCATGCTAAATCTTAATTATTTACTTAATAATGGGAAAATTCAGAACACTTTAACAGAAATATCATATATTATTTACAAGTCTTTAAAAATGGCTTTTCCTCTTAACACCAAGAATCTTAGACCTTGTTTTGGTTAATTACCTCCTATCTCATGGGCAGATGAATCTAGAATCATGTGTCTATCTCCTAAATGTATCTCCGCTATCTGACTTGGCAACTAGGCTTCTATAGCAGGGACAAAAAGAATGCCTTAGGAATGATTCAAAATGAAGTCAGCACTAAGGGTTCAGACCTGACTGTAATAGTGTTACACAGTTGAATGGCTCAATGTTAAAAATACATTTTAAAGGAGTGGAATGGACATATCCAAGGAAAAAAGTTCCAAATAATAAAAATAATGTCTAATAGTTTACAAAACATGTTTCTTTTCCCCTTAGTTCACATGGGTTACTATGTATTTCATTCTTTTTACTATTATTAGGAAGGAACTGTTTAAGTACACCTTCACAAGACCTTCATATAGCAAAGTAGTTTGAGCAAAGGAACATTTCCATTTTGGTATTTGTTCTGACAATTTTTAGCAAGCTTACACTAATAAAAAACAAGCTCTGAGGTGGGTTATTTGTTGTACAGAAATACATCAGTGTTGATTTTTCCAGCAATGTCACGCAGCATTCACTTCCTCTCCATAGCAACAGTAATGACATCAGCAAGGGAAGGGAAAAAAAATAAATAAATAAAATCTTTTCCAAAGAGGGATTTGATTTCTCTAAGCTTTGAAAATGTAGAGCCCCCAAGAGACCACAGGAATAAGGCCCTGCCATCGGAAGCTCTGTTTGTGCTTTAGAAATCATTTGGCTTCTCACTCGTGGAATCTGATACCTGTCAGTGTAATTGCCTCACCCATGACACATAAGCAAATAGTAGAGTGCAAACCCAAACACACACCTGTTCCCTACGCATATCTTCGTGGTGTCAAAACACCATCCCTAAGAATTACATTTTAATACCCTTGAAGTTGGTCAGAAAATTGTGTGCTATAAAACAAATGGCAGGTGCAAAAGTAATAAGCCAGAGCCTCCTACCATTTCGTTCTTCTCTTCCCTGCTCAAAAATAGGAAGTATGTGTAGATCCAGAGAGCAAGGAGGGAAAAGGAATTTAAGATGTGGCATTAGCTTGAAAAAACCTTGACTCATCTCACAGAAAAGGAAAGCAAAATAATTTAAGCACCTCAAATTAATGAAAAGAAAAAATTTTAAAAATTTATATAATAATTCATGAAACTTGTAATTTATTAATGGACAGTTCCTTTCATATTTTATCTTTTGGGGAACATCAATGCTCACTCTTTCACTGGGAAAGGTATACCCACCCACAATAGCATATGTAATACAACTAGTATCCTAATTTCTTTCCCTATTATTAGAAAACTAAACAAAGCAAAATAATTATAACTTCTGGTCTAAATGTTTTTGGTTCTCTGGGCTAGTGTTCCCTGTTACATAAATGAAATAATTTATTCTGTGCATTATTACCATATGTTTTTATAAAATGCATAGAGAGAGGGAGCCCTTACATTCTTTCACGCTTCCTAATTTTCTTCTAGAATAGTATTTCCAAAACTATTACCCTAAAACTTTGGTCCTCAAAATGCTTACAGATGAGTTGAGAAAAAGTTATTTGATGACCAGATGGAAATGTTGGATTACACAAGTTAAACAGAATTCTGTACTGCTGGAGCCTTTATTACACAATGTGCTCATGATGCTATGAAGAGTGGATACAGTAGACACTATTCCCCAAGAGAATCTGACAGGCCCCTTTGTGTTGCTGCATGTTCCTTCCAGGACGTAATTTAAGAAAAGTTGTACTATGATAGTTATGCCTTGCTCTTTCATGGGTAGTAACATAATACCAGTATTGTTTAGGAACAACCACTCAAAAGGGTTTCTTCACTAGAATAGTTTGTAGATACATGTGAAAATCAATTTTTATTTCTAAATAATACCAATTACCTACATACATGATATAAGTATGTGCATGTAGTATGGATATTCACAAATATCCAAATATCTATATTCATAGATATGCATACAGTGTGTATCTAGAAATGTTTTATAACACATTTTACCTATATATATAACATATCTATGACCTATTTATGTTCTTTCTATCCATCCTTACATCCACTCATCCATTTATGTAAACAAATAGTTTAAACTTTCAGAAACATCAATTAGATACTTGAGAAGAGATTGATATCACAAAGTCTCAAAAAAACTGAAATAGAATGTTTTGTTAATATGTTCTCTTAAAGATAATTGTGCTGTTTCTAAACTTGTTACATGTATATTTAGAGGACTTGTTTTAATACACATTTGAAAAGAAATTATACTAAAAGTAAAAAGAGTTCATTTCAAACAAGTAAAAGGTAATCAATCTGGGAACAAGGAGCTACACTGTGAAATCTGTGCTAAGGGGAATAATAAAAAATACAATGATCAGGACAAGAACCTACTCTTACTAAATAAAATTCATTGCTAGTGAATTTGCTAGTGAACTGTTGGTAAGTGACAATTAAAAAAATTGTAGACAGTGATAACAGGTAAGAATACGAAATAATAAGGTGGCATAAATTTGGAATAATTTCATACTAATATGGGGTACAGAGGCAGCATTTACTGTCTTAGAAATCGTGTGTAGTGAGGCTACATGTTTGAAAAATGCACAGTAATATAGGAAATAATAGGAAATAAGCAACTTTCAAAATAATATAACTCTTTGTCCTTTATAATGTATGATAAAACTTTACTAATTAGTGAATTTGAGAAAATGAAAAATAAAAACATAAGCTAATGTTGCAAATTATTTCTTCAAAAGTGAGTTATCTAGCCATGTATTGAATTACTTTTTGAGAAAATTATATATATGTGTGTAAAATTATATGCATGTATACACATCCTCATGTATACATATATACAATAAAGTAGTTTAATTAGACTTACATATTATGTGTTAATTTTACATACACGTAAATGTGTTCATCTTTAAACACATAAGATTTTCTGAGACATCCTAATTAGCTCACCAATATAGCTCATTTGGGGTACCAATTCTATGACACAAAATTGAGTTGATCAAATACTTTAGGAACCTTTGCTATCACAGGTAAAATTTCATTAAAAGAGCAAAATAAAAAGAAAAGAGTCCTAGTTTATTTTTTTCCATCTATAATTGGACTTGTAGTCAAGGTAACTCTGAGCTCCTATCTGACAGAGGAAACTATCATATGCTATTAATAAAAATGTTAGGATTCCAGCTCTAACCAGGAAAATATAAGATGTGCTATATCACCATTGTTTCTTAGAGCTGAATAGTACTCCATGGTGTACATATACCACATTTTATTAATCCATTCTTGGATTGACGGGCACTTGGGCTGTTTCCACAGCCTTGCAATTATGAATTGTGCTGCTATAAACATTCGAGTGCAGGTGTCTTTTTTGTAGAGTGTCATTGAATCATTTGGGTAGATGCCTAGCAATGGGATTGCTGGATCAAATGGCAGATTCACTTGTATCGCTTTAAGGTATCTCCATATTGCTTTCCACAGAGGTTGAACTAGTTTGCAGTCCCACCAGCTTATCCCAAGAATGGAAAAACAAGCACCAGATATATTCTCCAGCAAACTGGTATTAACTGAGTAGCACCTAAGTGGACACATAGGTACTACAGTAATAGAGTATTGGGCAGGTGGGAGGGGGGCGGGGGGCGGGTATATACATACATAATGAGTGAGATGTGCACCATCTGGGGGATGGTCATGATGGAGACTCAGACTTTTGGGGGGAGGGGGGAAATGGGCATTTATTGAAACCTTAAAATCTGTACCCCCCATAATATGCCGAAAAAAGCAAAAAAAAGTTAGGATTCAAATCATCTTTAGTATCAGCATCAGTTTGCCTATTTTATTCCACAATCATTCATCTTTCTTTCACTCAAAAATAAAAAATCTCACTTTAAACCAGACGAATTGCTTTCTGTATTCCTAAGGGAGGATTTTGACATGCCTACTCTTATTTTCATACATATGCCATTAAATTGCTACTCTGAATGATTATTAACATGAGAAAGGAGGAAGGAAGGTTGTGTTCATCCATCTGCCCTGGCTCCATGGAACAGCCCTTTAAACATTCCCAACACCTATGTGATTCCCTGAAATGATGACTGCTGGCATCACTTATATTCCAAGATTACAATAGTAAATTTCTTTCATCTTCTTGCATAATAAAGTGCTTACATGGTAACTTCCCCTTTTATACTGGCATACTTAATATAAATAACTTTAAATATGACATAGAGTATGAGCCTGAAAATAGTAAGCCCTCAATCAGTATTTGTTGAATGAATGAAGAATGAATAATCTTGTTTAATACATGTTTATAACTTATTATGACATAATATGTTAGCCTAATATATCACACTACTGAATAATGAGCCAGTTTAATTTCATATTCTTACCTGACCTGTAGCATTTCTGAAAATACTTATCTAATTATATCTGTATCTTTTTATATAGTATCTAATCTATCTAGGTTCTATGAGGGCTTTTATAAAAGTATTTTATGTTAGAAAGACACATAACAGATTTTTTAAAATACCAAGTATTCTGAAAGTTATCATTTACAAAATTCCAAATATTGTTGTACCATGTCTATGTTGCAGACACTCCACTAGCATAATTATTCTAAAACTCCTAGCCTGTGTCCTTTACAGTCAACAAATGTTAGGGGTGAAAAATAATCAAAATGTGTAATACTAATTTTGGAAAGAAATATGAGTATTTTAAAGAAGTCATTTTATAAAACTTTTAGCTGTTTCCTAACCAGTTTTATGGTGCTTTTAAATATACACATTAAGGAGTTAATATTTACCATGGAACTTTATCTTTGCATATAATACACTTAAAATGCTGATTAAAGTGCTGTGTTGATATGTATGAATACTCATATTCTCATGAAATGACTCATTCCAAATGAAAAATATGACCAACAAAACTGACCAAATTGGTAAATATTATCTACCTATTCCTAAGAATTAATTTTAAATTTTAGCATATAAAGTTTTAGGCTGATTAGCTGACTTAATTAGTTTAATTGACTGGCTTAATTAAATTTTATTTTTTAATTTAAACTTGACTAAACATTTGAAATGAATTTGGAGAAGTGTCATGTTGAATATAAAACATGTAATGCAGTCAGGCACAAAATATTGCTTCTTCATAGATTAATTGGTACATAGTACACATTGGTACAAGCTTGTTCAAGATATACTATTCATATTTATTGTTTAAAAATAAATATATCTGGATAAAACATGTTTTACCATTAGTATATTCATTAATATATCTTGTCTTAAATCCACTTATTTTTAAAATAATTTTTAAATTATTAATATTATTTTTGACTGACAAATCATAACTGTATACACTTATGGGGTAAACTGTGATGTTTCAATATACATATACAATGTGGATGACTAAATCAAGCTAATTAACATAGCCATCACCTTGGTTACCTATCATTTTTTACGATGAGACATTTGAAATTTACTCTTCAAATGAAGAGTAAAAAATACAATAATTTTATTGTAAATTATTATTATTTTGAAAAAGACAATATTTATTGGCTATAGTCACTCTGCTGTGCAATAGATCTGAAAACCTTTCTCCTGTCTATCCGAAACTATGCACCCCTAGATCAACAACTCCCATTCCCTCCCTCCTTAACCCCTGGCCACTAGTATTCATCATTTCACTCTATACTTCTATGAATTCAACTTTCTAAGATTCCATATATAAGTGAGATCATTTGGTATTTATCTTCCTGTGCCTGGCTTATTTCTCAGTATAATGTCCTTCAGATTCATCTACGTTGTCACAAATGACAGAATTTCCCCCTTTTGTAAGGCTGAATAGTACTCTATTGTGCATATATACTACATTTTCTTATCCATTCATCCATAATGGACACTGAGGTTGTTAAATCCACCTATTTTTTTTTTTTTTTTTTGGAGATGAATCCCTTGTATGGGAAAATCAGCCCCTATTTTAAAAAGTGCTTTTTATTAGTTAGCAATGATTGTTCTACCTAAGCAAAGTTTTCTCCAGTCCTAAAATTTCCAGCTTAATACAGAGTTAAGATGGGTTTTGGTGGAAGAATCATTCAACTGAAAATATTGCTAGTAGGCCACTGTCAACACGGTTTTCCTACTGGCTGCAGAACAAGAAGGTTTAAAACGTAGAGCCAGTAATTCTCCCAGTACATGGAGGAGGCATCTACCTGGCCCAGCCTATATTTGGATAAATGTTCTTCACAACTTGAGTGCTTCAGGCTTGGAGCTCAAGCCTGTCTCTAGTGGGAGTGAGTGTTTGTATATGTAGGCTAGGGGTAGGTGGGAAGAGAGAAAAGGGAGGGGAGATTATATTATAGAGCATCATTTAATTTAATAGATACCATAAAATACTAGTTTTTTTTTACTGGTTACATTCTCAACTGTGATCCTATAGTACCTTATGAAGGCTGTACTCATTTTACAAAACAGAGATGCATTGCTGCTGTTATCTTTCTAAAAATGAAAAGCATTTTAAGTGCTGCAGAAATATTATGCATTACTATGAGGATTTCTATGCATGTTTAAATTTACTCAAACTTGTCTTATTAGTTTGTCATTCTACTGGGAAAAAAAATTGCTTCTGTAGTATAAATTAAATATTCAGAATACGGACTCACCCAATAACTTAATTTCCTATTATTCCTTTCTATTTCATTTATATTACAAAATGGAGTTTCTTTTATTCCACATGAGATTTATGAAAGGGTAGATTAGTGTGGTCATTTTAGGGTATTATTTTAAAGCAAAATACACATTTAAAAAAAGAGAAGAATTATTCTAGACGCATGAAACTGAAAGAGGCCTCTAGAGATCACTTTGGCCTTCCATCCTAGTACTATAACAAGTCATTAATTTCTATTACCACATAGAGGAAAACTCAAAGGATAGAATTTGCTCAAAGTTGTAAACCCTCCCAAATTGTAACGAGACCTCTAAGCAAAAAGTTCTACTTTTTCCACACTTAAAACTTGTTAACCAATGCATGTAATATGTTGAAAGGGATTTTTTACTACTTTCCTTGTTTACTTACTTCACAGGTTAAAAAAAAAAAACCAACAGCATTTAAGTAAAGTTCCCGTGGCTCTACACTGACATAAAATGAAGAACAGCTGATCAATACCCTCTGAATCATATAACCTTGTGTATGTAAAGATAGCTAAGAAGTGAATTGTCAGACTCTTTCTTTCAAATCTAATTATGTCTACTTTGCCAACCCTTTTCTTATCATCATTTCCTGTCACACAATAGTTTTACTGCTTTCCTTGAGTCTCTTTCCCAAATGTATCAAATTTATCCCAAAGCAAAGCTGTTGGAAACTTCTTGTTTAGTATAAATTGATAGTGTTTTTCTATATGTTTTGCCTTTAGCCTTAAAATTGATGCTTATTAGCATAAAAGCCTTTTTAGAGTGCATAAAAAAGTCCACCATACCAAATGCCCTCTTTTTTCTACCTGCACCAATATCTTTTCCCTTTTCCCTTACAGCCAATAGTTAATGTTGTCAGTGCATCTAATGCATATTTTTGGATGATCACTTTCTGTAACTACTCTTTGATTAAGAGATGAATGGTTTAAAACTCTAGCTTCCAGGTGGCATCAGTAAATATTTAAAACATAGTTTAACATGAAAAGGAGGCTCCTTGATTCATTTCTAACAAAAAGCATGATAAGAAACTTTGTTTTTCATGTGTTTATTTTGGTAAGCTTTTGTGAAAGAGTTCATAGCGTTGTGAACATTTTACTTAGTGTTATAAAACATATTTGAAGGAGGCTCAGTATTTTGAAAATTATTTAAAAAGTCCTGACATTCCCTTTTGGAAAAGTGCAGCATATTATTATCCTTATTTGGCAGACTAAACAACTGGAAATTACTGAATGCACAGAAGGTTTAACAGGCAGAAAAAAATTATGGTTCTGAGTATATAGTGGGTACTACCAAATACAGCACCCAATACATTTGCCTAAATTTGAACAAAGGACAAAAGGACACTTAGAAAAAAATTTTCATAATCATTATATTTTCTTTATTAAGATGAGTTGGGGGAAGTGACATATACTCCTGTGGTAATTATAACATGTGAGGTGTGATGTTGAAGGTCTTTCTTGAAGAAGCAGGAAAAAAGGAAGTATGAAAAAATGAGCACATGTTCTAGGGTTTATCCAAATCAATCAGTTTTGAAACGATAAAATGCTCTAGTTTGTTATAATTCTCCATGACAGGACAAAAAATTGTGTAATTTATTCACAAAGCTAGCTGTCACCTACAATCATGTTTTGTCCCAATAAAATCTCTTTAAATGGTGAAATGTATAGAATCATACCCAATGCGTGTGGCTTCTGTCCTTCCCTCACCAGTGAATACACATCTTGCAGCCAGCAGGTCACCAAAACTAACATCTACTGGTTGTTCCACAGGGTAGAAAGCCTGCCAAAAAGACAATCACAGTGGTTCACTAACATCATTAATAAAACCCAGAACCACATGCTTTAATAATGGGAAGCTTGGCACACTCTGGATAGAGAGGATGGAGACAGGCAGAGAGATAGACAGACAGACATACTCAGACACACACATACACACAAAATTAAATGAGAAGAGTTCACTTTTAATTAATCAATTCTTCTTTACGACAAGAGTACCAAACTTTGAAATAAAGAAATACTATTAGCAAATGCATCTCATAAAAATCAGAATAAATGCAATAACAGCTATTTGAACACTGTCTTTAATGAAAGGATGGGAGAGAGAAGACTTTGCCAACATGTTTAGATTACACTGAGAGAAGTGATAAGGAAAGGACCAAATTGGAAGTTGTAAAAAAGGAGGTTATACAGCTCAGATACACAGTAAAGGCAGATTTAGAGATTTTTAGTTTCCAGGGAAATTCACAAGGGTTGTATAGGATTTTTAAAAATTATTTGCTGTTGGTTAATATTTTTTCTCTCAAAATTAAATATGATTCTCCATACCTGTGGCAGCTGGGGGCTCTGTCGTCCGATCAGTGTCCACTGTCCATTTCTTACTCTGTATCCACTTACTACTTTACCTGTAATAAACACAGATTATAATCATATAATAAAGTACTATAAGACAAAAGACATATTTACCCTTCTATTTTAAAATAATATCTGAATATTTTCAGAACTCCAAATACTGAGTATCTTAATGAAAACAATACGATGAAACAGCATAAAACTTTTCATAGCATTGTGTAAAATCACTTTCAATGAAACAGACTTTAGTTCAAATATAATTTACATTTATAGCACTAGCAAGCACAGTGGTAAACATTTATAATTTAGCATGTACTTTAAAGTTCTTACCTAAATGGTGAGTGTGGACTCTATAGGCAAAGACATGCATTGGATAATTTTTATAATGGCATGAAATGTCAGAATTCACCACTGCGAGAAATGAAAACACAGAAAAAAGTCACTATTCAACTGGAAAATTACATTATTCTTTTCTAAAAGTATGCGTACGGTATTCACAAGATGGTAGGCACTGGGATTTTCTTACAAAGAAAACATGCACTCATGTACTCAATAGACATTATGCACTTATTCTGGGCCCACCATGTTACTAAAATGAACTTAAGACCTCCCATATTGCACATTTTTATTTTACTCATAAACAAAATGACCATGACCAAATCAAAATACCCTGTCAGTGAAAACATAAGCTTAATTTATTGCCTTTATCTTGAAATTTACCCAGTTGAAAAAAGCTTAAAAATTGGTTTTTATTTTTAGAACAAAAGAATTTTTGAAAAATTTTATGCAATCATGGAAGATCACTAGATTGACAGTTCCTGCTGTCATATATTTTTTCTTCCTTACAGTGTAACACACAGTAGCTATGCAATGAATATTTCTTTTAGAATAGATAAATGAACAGTAAGAAAAAGATCATACTGGTCATTAACTTTAAAAGATTTCCAGTCAAAACAAATGAACAATTTTTAATATGTTCCTTTCATTAGAGTATTATTGATAAATAATATTATGCTTATTCTCATATCTTTCTCTCAGCTTGGGAGAATCAGCTATTATCCCCATTTTGCAAGTAAGGAAATAAGCCCAGTATGTCTAAGTTCAAAGATGGAATCAGTGTTGGGTTTGCTAGCCTCTTGATTTTAAACATTTCTAGGTAGTAGTTTATGCTACTGCACATTATTCAGTGTGTCTTTTGCATTTAAAGAAAGAATGATTGATTTTTAAAATACTCAAGATTTATTCTTTAATTTATACAACTCACTACTTACCCAGGGCATCTTAGCATCTCAATAAATAAAGAATGGAAAGTAATAAACCATTGGCTTGGAATCATAAAAAAAAAGAATTGGTTTATTTTTCAAGGACTCAAAGATATGAGTCATTTTAAGTTTCTCAAAAATACACTGCAAGTCCATTCCTACAGATTAGGTAATGAGGTAGTGGTAAATACTAAAATACCATTACTCACCTTTCTCTCCTGCTGGTATAACAGTGTCGACAGACATCATAAGGTACATGCCAGCAATTAAAGGCTGTCTGCAGAAAAAAGTAATATTTTTCTCAATAACCTGAAAAAGTCAAAACTACTGTCTTGGAAAAATAGACTATACCTCAATACAGTAGTTTATAAAATGTGTTCCTTGTGAAAGTTAGAATGAAATAATATAGAAAAAGAGGTAGGATATATATATACACAAATCCCTTCTTTTCTTACGAAGGCAAGCTCTAAATGGTTCCTGTGATAGCTAGGTTTACAAGTCAACTTGGCTGGGCTACAGTGCCTGGTTGTTTGGTGAAACAGCAGTCTCCATGTTGCTGGGTGGGTAATTTTTTTTAGATGTGATTAACATTTAAATCAAACTTTGAGTAAAGCAGATTATTGTGGGTGGGCCCTCAAAAGGAAGGAATTCTGCCTACAAATTGCCTTTGGATCCATGAATGCAATATCAACCCTTCCCTGAATTTCCAGTTGGTGCTATAGATTTTGGATTTGTCAGCCCTGCAATAGTGTGAGCCAATCCCTTATAATAAATCTCTGTCTCTTTCTCTCTCTCTCTCAATATATGCATATCCTATTGGTTCAGGTTTCTTCAGAGAACTCTGACTAATAACAGCTCTCATGATTCCTAGCTGTGACATTCATATCCTTATCTAATATTCTCCCCTTGAATGTGGATCAAAATAAGTGTAATAACTTATCTTTAACAAACAGAATATGTCAAAAGTGATGGTATGTCACTTCTAAGATTAGGTTGTAAAAACACTCTGGCTTCCCTCTAGCATGCATGCCCTCTCTTGCTTTTTTGCTGACTTTCTATGATGGAAGCCAGCTGCCATATTGGGAGCGGCCATTTCCAGTCCACATGGCAAGGAAATGATGGCAACTTTAAGCCAACAGCCAGAAAAGAACTGAATCCTGCCAACAAAAGTGGCTCCTCCCTGGTTGAGCCTTAAGATGACTGAAGCCCCAGCCAAGATTTTGACTGCGGCCTCTACGTGAGACCCAGCTAAGCTGTTCCCAGATTACAAGCCCACAGGGAACTGAGATAATTAATATGTGGTTATTTTAAGCTGGTAAGTTTTGGTTCATTTTTTATTCACAGGTAATAACACAGTGAACTTCTCACTTTTAAGTTCACAAAGATCTTCACGTCGTTGCTTATCTAGGAAAACTGAAGTTACTTACGGTAGACGTGTGAGGTGTAAGGACACACCAGAACAGTCTTTGTGATTATCTGAAAATACACATGGAAACACACATTTTAAATAGGAAAATGTAAAAAACAAATTGCAAACTGATACATTTTAAATGATTATAACTCAATACTTAAGAAAAAATAAATTTTCATTTGTATGGTGCTTTATATTTTACAGAGTAGTTTCATATTCATTAATTGTTGTAATTGCCAATGCATCATAACAGCAAAAAAAAAAAAAATCCCTATTGTTTCATGCAGTCTGTAGTATTTCTTGAATCATCAAACTTACCAGTTATTGGCTTTCCTGGAGAAATACCAGATACTAGGCATAAGCCCATAGAAGAAAGTTGTTGCTACTCTCTATACCTTATCTATATTGCTGAAACATTCAGAAAAGTTGCTAAACTGAATGGTTTGTTCCAGGCTGTCCCAAACAACTTGGCTTTTCTACTTTCCAAAAACTGAAATAGCCCATAATTTGGGTTTTCATAGGTTTTAGGCATTATTGAAGTCTAGTGCTATTCAAATCTAAAATTTTATTATTGTAGGAGATTCTGATCTCTTATAGAACAACTTTCTTAGCTGAGAAGCCCGTATGTTTGCATATACACACAGTGAGACATCCCAGCAGGAGCAACTTGAACTCCTTCACACAAGGTGGTCTGGGGGCCTGAAAAGCTGCTGGACCCACGGCTGCTCCTACAGCAGGTGGCAGTTCTGGTGAGAAGCATATTTCAGCCCCAGTGTTTGGCGCAAAGATTATGACCTTCTGACTCCAACATGATCCTTGCCACAGTGATGTATTATTATTTACATAACCTCTATGCTGATCTCACTTCTTGTGAACTCAAAAACTTCAGCTAGTTTTGCACATTTCACTGATGATTTGTAGTGTGCTCTGACTTTGCCTGCCCTTCTGCTCTCTTGCAGTGCTTAGTCCGTAAGATAGGAAACCTCAGGAAAATTCATTTCCATTCACGAGGCTATATTAAATCTGTCTCTGACATCCATCATTATACAAAAGAATGCCACTTAAAAGGTTAATTACAATCAAGAAATACAGTGATGCCTCTGCTAATATTTTACCACACAAAATGAAAAAAAAAAGAAATCAAAAATGAGTTAAGAAATGTACAGAAAATGAACTCAGAATATCAAAATCACATCCTAGTTGATCAAGCTGGTTGGAAAGACTCCTTCTGTGATGAGAATGAAAGTAAACAGGAGAAAGGAGAGGAGAGGGAATAGATGGAAAATTAACCCAGGGCAGAAGACCCGAGAAATGGAATCCCATTGCTTAAAAAAAGATGAGAATAGTAATGAGTAAAAAAACTAAAATGATCTGAAATTATAGGATTGAATTTGTCCAAATGAAAGGCAGAAAAGGAAGCAAACTATTCCACCTGATTTATATTTCAATATAAACACTGTACATTTTTCCACATGTCAAATTTGTTAGATATAAACTTTGAAATTTATCTGTATATTTTTATTGCACACAATTATTGTGTGTGATTATGTAGCATTAGTGCCTTAACCCTCATCAGTTTTCAGCTAGGTGTTCACTGAGTTCCTTTGTTTAAAATAAGTGAAATCTAGGCGGGGCACAGTGGCTCACGCCTGTAATCCTAGTACCCTGGGAGGCAGAGGCTGGTGGATTGCTTAAGATCAGGAGTTAGAAACTAGCCTGAGCAAGAGCGAGACCCCGTCTCTACTATAAAAAGAAAGAAATTAATTGGTCAACTAATATATATAGAAAAATTTAGCAGGGCATGGTGGTGCATGCCTGTAGTCCCAGGTACTTGGGAGGCTGAGGCAGAAGGATTGCTTGAGCCCAGGAGTTTGAGGTTGCTGTGAGCTAGGCTGACGCCACGGCACTCACTCTGGCCTGGGCAACAAAGTGAGACTCTGTCTCAAAAAATAAGTAATTAAAAATAAATAAATAAATAAGTGAAATCTAAAAGGTTATTTAATACTTGGTACATTAATACTAGTGATGAATATTTATACCAGTAGGAAATGCTAAGTGGTCTACAAATGAGATAACTTAAAGAACTTAGCACTCATTTAGAGAATAGGAAAAATTTAGTCAATGTTAGTTTTTATTAATGTTAGTTTTTATGACTCTTTCTATTGGTATATTCCAAAAATTTCAGTACATTTTATTTTTAAGAAATATATTTTCATAGTTATAAGTCTGGAATTTCTTTAATTAAAGAAAGTGAAGCACATCAAATTTCTCCAAGTAGTAACAGAGGACTAGAAAAAAGGGGGAAAAGGACCATGGGAACACTAAAAGAGTAAAACAGTTAAAAGAAAAGAGATTGTAATTAAAATTTTGAATGTTAAAGATATTGCACAAAAAGGATATTATCAGCAGGTTCTGTACTAGGTAGATACAGAACAGAATTTTAAGTGAAGTAAAGAATTTTTTGTAAGATAAATACCATGGTCTGCCTAAAATGAAATTCTTGAATTAGAAGCCATGTGAGTACAAAGAAATTGATTATATTTCAAGATCCTTTCATGACTTTCAGTAAAAAAGCTCCCCTTGACCAGATCCAAGACAATCTGATGTTTTTGAGTTTGGGACTAGAAAATGTTTGTTCCTCAGAATTCTATGTTTGTAGAAAAGAGAACAAGCCATTTTTATGTTGATATTGAAGTTGTTTCAATCTACATTCACTTATTCTGTGCATTTGTTATCATGCAAAAGTCCTAATAGCTCTTCTTTTCAAGTAGATTCATTTATTCTTAGTTGTCTTATTCCAAAGTAAATTAATTGTTCTATCCTGCCTTGCACTGGTTTCCAGGGTTCACTCTCTCCAAGGTACACTCGTGACCTTTAGCTACCAATGTTATATATTTACAGAGAACTGAATCCAAGACATCCCTATTAAAGGGATCTTTTATAACTGTTGTTCTCTTGTAGTAAGATAAATTTCGGCCTAATGGATTTCAAGATATGGAGATGAAACTTCACTCACTAGATAGGTATGAGATGACATTGAGAAGGATATTTCATTATGTCATTATATTCCATTATAATGTCACATGTGTATGTACTAAGAGCTTTTGTAATGGTGAAGACATTTGTGGTGGAAAAGTTGAAAGAATCATTTGAAAAAAGAAATGTAAAATAACAGAGTCTAATAATGCCTTAGAAAAATATTACACATAGGACAGTGCTGCAGTGCAGGTGGTTGGGTGGTAAGATTTTTAAAGAGGAGTCTGGTAATGAAAGAAATGAGTATTTCCAGACACTGGATGAGACTTGAAAATAGGATTCAATCAGAATCTAATCTTAAGCAAGATGAAACTGAAGGATCGCTCCACAAGGTTTCTCAGCTTGCCCTTTTTGAGAAATCGCTCTCTTCTGCTTAGGCAGAGATGTATAACCACAGCAAGGGATTTTAGCAAAGATATAGACTCAAAGAATTTCAGAATTGAAAGAGACCACAGAGATGATGGAGTTCAAATCTTACACTTTACAGACAGAGAAAAGGAGACTACAGAGATAAGAGTGTTGCTCAAAGTAATTCAACTAACTAGTGGCACGCTTGAGTATAAAATCTAATTCTCTAAGGTTAATGTTTAATAAACTTTATTTCCCCAAACAAACAAAAAGCAAGAGTTCTAGCTTTTAGAGACTTTTCCAAGGCCTTTCATCTGAGAAATATCCTGAAGCTAAAATAAAGGAATTAAGCAAGAACGGATAAGTAGTAACCCGTGGTACTTAAGGACATCCACTTAAGCAGGAAGCTCAATTCTCTTAATGGAAGATGAATGCATGGGATATGAGGTTATCCATCCCAAACTATTTAGCTTGCTTTTCTAATAATAGCGTGTAGTTCCTGCTTGGATTCATAGCTAAGTAGTAAAGTAAGTATGTGGAATAATGCATGATAATAAACTATTACATCTTAGGTTCTTGGAAGTCGGTTGGTCTCCTAATTTTTCCCTCTAGAGATAGCCCTCTATACTTCATGAGCTCATCTTGTCCTAGTTGTTTCCTGCTTCAGTAAAAGGATAGGTTAACCATGGATCCTGAGGGAACCAAAGTATTGTTATAAACTATATCCCGCTAAATGGAAAAGTTCTTCAGAAAGAGAGTGGTAAGAGTGGATTTTAATTCACCGCACTCTCCCAGGAAGGTAAAGGATAGGACACACTCATTTCCTCCTATCCCAAACACCCTTTTGGATAATGGATTCTTTCCTTATAGAGCTATTAAAAAAAGCATGCCTTAGGAAAAACAAAGAAGTAACATCTTTAATAATAAAAACGTATTTTAGGAAATTTGAAAGCAAATAGTTCTAATCTGTATCATACCTGTGTGTTCTGAACATAATTTAAAGGCTACTTTCTCTACTTTCTATTTTGAACATACAAACAGAAATGAATCAGGGATAGCATAGTAAATGCAAGTAATTTTATAATAATATATTCACACCAATAGTGTAATAACTATTTGACTATTGAGCTGTCTTTATCTTTATACCTTATGGTTCTTTGTTCTAAATTAATAACCTTAAATTAATGGGACAGATGATGTCTTGCTAAGACTAAATCATGGCTCCCAAGGTGATCAAGACTAGGAGATTATTTGGGGATTAATTTCCAAAGTCAGAGAAAATTTCATATAATTAAAATTACTTTGAAAATTCCTTAGGAGAATGAAGAGTGAGGTCTCCTAATAGATCCAGCACAGCCAGTTTCCTTAGCACTGGAACAAATTGCTGTCAGTTGTGTCATTTGGGCCATGCTGTTTTCATAAAAAGATATTTCTATGCAGTTGGGCTCTGTCGTTATATAAAAAAGGTGATTTCTGTGCAACTGAAACCTTGCTGCAGAGAGATGGACACACACACACAAAATAAACCCAACTGAGAGAACTGCAGACTCAGGTCTTGTGCTCACTCCGGGCATAGGCATTTTGAAAGGAACCTGGTTTTAATGAAGCTAAGACACATTCCTTTGCTCTGTTTTTGGTATCTCCTAGATTATAAACTCAGGTACTAAAGTCACTTAAAAGT